GGCATCCAACTGTCCATTTCAATATCCTTCTGGTGCTGCTGCCCATGGGCTCTCTGCCCTCCTTCTTGAGTCTCTACCTCACTTCTTACCCATTAGGTTGTGCTAAAGCTGATTCTCCTGTCTGTCTGAGGTTATAAGGCTTCTCTCTCATTATTGTTCAGTTGTTTGTTCCAGGTGATTTCTCCACAATTTAGTTTCAATTCCAGATTGTTCCTGGGAAGAAGTCAGTGTGACTTTCACTCACTCCACTGCCATCTTGATTTTCCAGAATAAACCTCTTTAAGTGAGTGTGTCTTATAATTTTCTGAGTGCAGGTGTTTTACATCCTTGGTTACATTTATTCCTAGGTATTCTATTCTTTTTGAAGCAATTATGAATGGGATTGTTTTCTTAATTTCCTTTTCTCTTAGTTCATTTTTTGTATATAAAAATGCAACTGATTTCTGGATATTAATTTTGTATTCTACTACTTTGCTGAATTCATTTATCAGTTTTAGTAGCTTCTTGGTGAAATCTTTAGGGTTCTCAAATATACAATATCATGTCGTCAGCAAATAATGGCAGATTTACATCTTTCTTTTCGATTTGAATGCCTTTTATTTCTTCTTTTTGACTGATTGTCGTAACTAGAACTTCCAGTGCTATGTTGAATAAGAGACGTGAAAGTAGACATCCCTGTCTTTTCCTGGTCCTTTAGGGGAATGCTTGTGGTTTCTGCCATTGAGTATGATTCTGGCAGTGGGTTTGTCACATATGGACTTTATTATGTTTAGGTATGTTCCCTCTAATCCCAATTTGCTGAGAGTTTTCATCGTAAATCGGTGCAGGATTTCATCAAATGCTTTTTCTGCATCTATTGATATGATCATGTGGTTGTTATTCTTCATTTTGTTTATGTGGTGAATCACATTTATTCATTTGCAACTGTTGTATGAACCTTGCATTACCAGAGTAAGTCCCACTTTATCATGATGTATAATCTTTTTGATGCATATCTGTATTCAGTTTGCTTGTATTTTGTTCAGGATTTTAGCATCTATGTTCATCAGGGATACTGGCCTATAATTTTCTTTCTTTGTAGCGCTTTTATCTGGTTTTGCAATTACAATAATGCTGGCCTCGTAAAACGAGTTTGGGAGCCTTCCTTCCTCTTGAATTGTATGAAATAGTTACAAACAATTTAAGAAGGAAAAGTGTTAGTTTTCAGAATGTTTGGTAAAATTCACTTGTGAAGCCATCTGGTCCAGGGTTTTTGTTTGTTGGAATTTTTTGATTACTGCTTCAAATTTATTAGGTGAAATCTGTCTATTCAGATTCTCTGATTCTTCCTGATTTAGTTTTGGAATGTGGTATGTTTCTAGGAATTTACCTATATCATCCAGGTTGTCCTGTTTGTTGACATATAATTGTTCATAATATTTTCTTACAACCCTTTGTATTTCTTTGGTGTCAGTTGTTATTTCTCTTCTTTAATTTCTGATTTTATTTATTTGGGTCCTTTATCTTTTCTTCTTGATAAGTCTGGTTCAAGGTTTGTTAATCTTGTTTATCTTTTCAAAGAACTAGTTCTTGGATTCATTGATCTTTTGTATCATTTATTTAGAATTAATTTTGTTTGTGCTTTGATCTTTATTCTTTCCTCCCTTTTAGTCACTTTGGACATTGTTTGTTTTCTTTTTCAACTTCCTGTAAGTGTAAAGTTAGATTGTTTATTGGAGCTTTCTCTTGTTTTTTGAGCTAGGCCTGTAATGCTATGAATTTCCCTCTCACGATTCCTTTCCCTCTGTCCCACAGATTTTTGATTTTTGTTTTCTCATTTTAATTTGTTTCAAGGTATCCTTTGATTTCTTTCTTGATCTTCTTGTTGATCCATTCATTGTTTAATAGCATGTTATTTAGCTTCCATCGTGAGTTTTTCAGTGTTCTTCTTGTGATTGATTTCTAGTTTCATGTGGTCAAAGATGCTTGATATGATTTCAATCTTCATAAATGTATGAAACTTGTTTTGTGTCCTAATGTGTGGTTTATCCTAGAAAACGTTCCATGTTCCTATGAAAAGTATGTATATTCTGCTGCTTAGGGGTAAAATATTGAAGATGTCAATTAACTCCATTTGATCTAGTGTGTCATATAAGCCCTCTGTGTCCTTGTTGATTTTCTGCCTGGAAGATCTATCCATTGAAGTCAATCAGGTGTTAAAATCCCCAACTATGACTGTATTTCTGTCAGTCTCTCCCTTTATGTCCATCAAGGTTTGCTTTACATTTTTAGGTGCTCCTATGTTGTGTGCATAAATATTTACTAGGGTTATATCCTCTTGTTGGATTATTCCCTTTATCATTATATAGTGTCTTTCTTTGTCTCTTACTCTAGCCTTTGTTTTGAAGTCTATTTTGTCATATATAAGTACTGCTACTCCAGCTTTTTTTCCTTTCCATTTGTATGAAATATCTTTTTCCATCCCTTTACTTTTAGTATGTGTGTATCTTTTGATCTGAGGTGGGTCTCTTGCAGGCAGCATGTATATGGATCTTGTTTTCCTATCCGTTCAGCTGCCCTGTGTCTTTTGGATGGAGCATTTAAGCCATTTACATTTAAGGTTATCATTGATAGATATGTTTGCAGTGTCATTTTATTGTTAGGTTGTTTTTTTTCTCTTTTTTTTTTTTCTTTTTCTTCTTAAAGCAAAACCTTTAACATTTGTTGCAGTACTAGTTTGGTGTTAACAAACTCCTTTAGTTTTTTCTTGTCTGGGAAGCTCCTTATTTCTCCTTCAATTTTAAATGATAGCCCTGCTGGGTAAAGCAGCCTTGGTTGTAGGCATTTGCTTTTCATCACCTTGATTATTTTACGCCACTTCCTTCTAGTCAGAAATATTTCTGTTGAGTAATCAGATTGCCAGTCTAATTGGTGCTTCCTTGTAGGTAACTCTGCTTTTCCATTGCAGCTTTTAGAATTCTTTCCATGTCTTTGAGGCTTGTCATTTTAATTATGATATGTCTTGGTGTAGGCCTTTTTTGGGGTCCAACTTGTTTGGGATTCTCTGAGCTTCCTTGACTTGTATGTCTTTTTCCTTCACCAGATTAAGGAAGTTTTCAGTCATTATTTCTTCAAATAGTTTCTCAATCCCTTGCTCACTCTCTTCTCCTTGTGTTATTCCCATGATACAAATGTTACATTTCATATTGTCCAAAATGTTTCTTAAGCTCTCCTCATTTTTAAAATTTTCTTTTTCTGCTCTGCTGGGTGTTTTTTTCTACCTTGTTTTCCAAATCACTGATTGGATCCTCTGCTAACTTACTGAATTTTTCCTTCCAGTGTATTATCTATTTTAGATATTGCATTCTTTATTTCTGACTGGTCCTTCTTTATGGTTTCTATGTATTTCATTCATGCTGTTGAGTATCCTTATGTTCATTACTCTAAACTCTCTATTTGGTAAATTGCTTGCCTCTGTATCATCTAGTCATTCTGGATAATTCTCTTGTTCTTTCATTTGAGGTCTGTTTCACTGTCTTCCCATTTTTGCTACTTCTTGGTGATTTCTGCATTAGTTGTTAAACCAATCAGTTGTTAATTTAATCAAGCTGTAATCAGCAGCCCAGATTAAGCTCCACAGAGAAAGGCAGGGTAATTCCTGTGGACAGGGCTATTGCCCCCCTCAGGCTGATGTCATTTGGATAGGAATGCTCTGTCTGAGAAAGATGATCTCTGTAGTATGGAGGATATCTCAGCATAGGGATCTTTGTGGTTGTTCCTTTAACTCTCTCCCAAGAACCACCAACCCCAGACCCTCCTCAAGCATCTCTAGCCCTCTCTTCCCTCCATCTGCCAGAGCTCAGGGTAAGTGGCTGCAAATGAAATTTTGTGCATTGGCCCCTTAACAGGCTCCCTGAGTCTCCAGCCATCTCACCCTGGCAGCCAAAACCCTGCTGCTTTTCACAGCTGGATGTTATCTGGTTTCCTTTCTGGCTCTGGTGCTGTAGGCTGGGGGGCCCAGTTTGTGGTTTAGATACCACACCTCTCAGGGGGAACCCCCAGGCTGCTGAAATATGGTTTAGACCCCATGGTTCTCAGGGGAACCCCCAGGTTGCAGAAATATTCCTTTGGAGCTTCAGCTGTAGCCCATGGGAGCCCAGCCAGCCCTCTTGCACCTCCTCCACTGCTACCAGTCTCACTGTGGTGAAGCGGTTTCTTCTCTCTGTCCTTGGTTATAAGGCTTCTCTCCAGCTAGTGTATGTTGGTTATTCAGGATGATTTCTCTACAATTTAGTTGTAATTTCATATTGGTCCTGGGAGGAGGTTAATGTAGCTTCCACTTACTCCTCCACCATCATCCTCCTAATTTGGTTGCACAACACTCTTGTTTGTAGATATTAACCTATTTTTAAAGAAGACACAAATATTTGGAGAATTGAGTTGTAACTCCAAAGTCAGGTGGTTATTAGAGTAACAAATTAAACGGGCATTCTGATCACAAGCCTGTTACAGTTTCACATGTTTCTCCATGATTCTATTAAAAGAGAAAAAAATGGAGTAAGCACCTCTAAACTATTTGAAATTACAAGATGTAGTGACACCCCATATTCAGTTGAAAGGCTTATATTTTTAAAAATATATGTAATTTATACATATTATATATTATGTATATGATATAAACAGGGGTTGGCAAAAGTAGATTTGCAGTATGAGTATATGAAACAGTTTATTCTTGCATTATTATTTATTCATTGTTGAATTATTTATTATTATTTTTGTTAACCTACTTTTTGCTCACCCCTGTATTCATTACATAGTTTCAGACTATTATATACTCTTTCTATATATATTATGTATACTATGTATGTCTTAGGTTACCCAGCTTTTCTCTTTAGTTGTTTGTTTTTTTTAAGTTGTGATAGAGATAACCTAAGGAAATCTTTCAAATTGGTCATTTTGGAAATGATGAAGAGACAAATTGAAATATTGTTTGAATATATGAATTCTTTACTTTTTCACAGCTGCAAACCTTTTTTGAGACATTCCTGAGAGCCAGTTCACCTCTCCAGGCTTTTGATAGCATGAAGGAAGCAATTAGCAAACTCCTGCTAGCAGCTGAAGTCTTCAGTGAAACATCTACTTTAGGACCAAAGGCCTTCAATAGGTAAAAAAATAAAAAATAAATTAATGTTAAAAATATCTACCTTCTAGAAATTGATTGTTAGTGAACATATATCTTAATTATCACTAGTAGATTCTTCTTGGAAAATGTTATATCAGTATAAAAATACAAACTTCCAGACTTATGTTTCCTTGTTTATAGATCCTAAAATATTAGAGCACATTACAGACTTGTTAGTATCTAAATAGTGGTGATAGAAAGTAAAGCACAGTTACTTAAATGGATTTTTAAAACTGCAGCCTCTTTCAGGCTCAGGTATTTCTATCATATATACTTACTGTTTACTAGGCATATTTTTATTTACAGAATTTTATTAACAAAATTCAATAACTCCTCTCTCCATGTCTCAGTTAACTTAAATATAATTTAACACCTATTTTCTAGGGAAATGTTAAATCGCATATGACAAACAAGGGAGGTGACTCAAGTAAGCTTTATCATGCTTTATATGTGGACAAGAATGACTAGCATGAAGGAACAGGAGAGTTTCCTTCTCCATAATTAGGTTTTCACAGAGTGATTTCACCATTTAATTTATGAGTGTTATGAGTACTTTAGATATATTTGTGTTTTCTATAAGAAACAAAACAGATTCCAAATCCAAAATTAAATCGTAATTATGGATTATCCAGTCAACTGTGTTTTTAAACTTATTACAGACCTTGAAATTTAACAACAGTAACTATCAATATGTGTAATATATGAGATATAATTTCAAATATATAATAATAATATAATTCCAAATAATAGATTAAATGCAAGTAGATTATAACTTTGTCACTTGTGTTTTTATTTCAGATGCAGATTATGTTTTCAACTTTTAATTTTTGATATTGGTTACGGCAGTTTCAGGTCCCCTGTAGTGCTCCAGGTAAGCCTACCAAAGTTCTCGTGTAAGTATCTGCATTTTGCTGGAGGATATGTGTGTATATAAACGTGTGCGTGTTTGTGTTCTCTCATTCATAGTAGTGAATCAATAAACAGCAACTTCATTAAAGTCACTAGTTATATTTATGGTGGTTTAGAAAATTAAGTAGTATGTGGAAAATCTGTGATTTGAGTTCCAGTTCCTACTATGCATTCTTATAGAACAAGCATGGATTTTCTATGGTTCAAACACTGTTTATGAAATACTTACAGCATAAAGCTAAGTGTGAGTTAATGCAGAAAAACAGACATTTAGACAATAAACACTAGAAGATTACCTAGCTTATTCACATGGGTTTATAAAAAGGTAACTCATTTTTAACATATAGACATTTACTTTAAAATTGACCTATAAATTAACTTAAAATGTCATAGGAATTTTTTAATATATAATTTTCCTAGTGTTTAAATATGTATAAATTGAAGAGTACTCTTGTATACTTTGATTTTTACTTTCTCTCAAATCAAGTTAACTCATTCAGAGCATTTCTTCCAAGATATTTTTAATCCAAAATATCCATTAGTGAAAAATATTGGTGGAATTAGTCTATAGAAAGCTTTATTTCGGGATATGGAGTGGGAAGATGGGAAGAAAGACAAAATAAAATTATGTGCAACCAGAATTCAATTTCACATTGCATTGACTGATTTTTTAAACTTTTATACGAGGAGAGTAATTACATTATATGTGGCTCAGACATTTGGTTGGATTGTCCAAAGATTTATCCATCAAATTTTGAAACTTTATGAATTTATGTATTTTAATGGTCAGTCATTATTTTACACAAACCTAATAGTTTATGATATGCTTCTTTAAAATTTATTGTTTAGAAATGTTATATATTGTCTTCCATGAACACAAATTCTTCAACAATAGTTTCCAGCTAAACTAATGTGACTTTATCATTCATTAGCTAATGTTCTTATAAAGGATCAAAAGAATATTACATTTTAAAGAAACTGTTGACCTCCAAAAAGACCACTAGATGTCAGTTCTGATCTACAGTCCAACAGGAAATGAATCATGTCTTAGAAGTGATCCTACTTTAGTCAAAGTAAGTCAATGAAAAATATTTTCTGTGTTTTTATTTTCTCACAGGTGCATGAGCATTTAAAATTTCAAGATGATGATTATATGGATTTTGAGGACCAAAACACAGAAGAGTTCCTTTTAAAAGACACTTTCCAATTTCTATTCTCTAACAAATCTTCTTTTTCCATATTTTCTGAGATATTTCAGAGACTTTACAGATCAGGTGTATTTAAGGTAAATGCATATTCAGCAACTTGATAATTCATTTGAAATTAATTTGTATCAGTTATAACTTTTAATATTTTTATGACCTGAGGACGATACTATTTTTGTGTCAACAAAGTATGTGACTGATTATGATAAAGTTGTGGGTTGAAATGAACTAAAGCAGTTCCTAATTCCCACAGAACTTTTGTGGACATTATGAATAATACATATTATATGTTACAGAATACTTTAAAAGGAACACCATAGCTTTTTGGAGGCAATTTAGAATAGCAGTGATTATTGTAGATTGACATCAAGGGGCTTGACTTATAATACTAATCTTTTTAAGCATTGACACCAGTTAACATCTTTGATAGATAATGATGATTAGAGTATAGAGCTCAAGAGTAGCATTGATTAGTTTTTATGGTGTGTTAATATAAGTTTTTAGGTGCCTCAAAATGTCTGTACAGGTTAGTGAGGATAGTACTGTTCTATATATTTTGCTGCTCCATTCTCCAGTACCTGAAAGCTAAAGGAGATTCTTTCTGCGTCCCAAACCGTCATACACATTCTGCCCTTCTGCGCTCATCTCCCCAACCTTCCTGGCAAAGCACTATTGAGCAATTTCATTCGGGTTCTTTTGTCAAATAGGAAGTTCTCATATTCAGACACTGTTGTTACAAGTTGCAGTTACTGTGTCTTATTTAGCATTAGTTAGCTCAGCTGTTTATTTATCAAGTTCAAAATTTCATTGGTTTTTGAACTGGGAGGCAACTGGGCAATTGCTTAAGAGTTGTTTTTATTTTTCCTCTCCTATTATAGGGTGAAAACTACAAAAAGGAACTAAATCAATGCCTACCTTTAGAGGAGATTAACTCAATTATGACTTTCATAAAGGAACTTGGGAATTTGGGACAATTCCAACTGGTAACACAAAAGTGACATCTAATTCCTCTTGATTACTGAGATTACAGTAGATCAGCCATAACTTACTTGATTTTGACTTCAATTTAGGTGAAGCTGTTTCTTTAAGAAACAAAAATCTTTGTAAGCTCCTTTCCTCTTTTCACATATCTAAATATTAAGATTAGCAGAATCCATATTCACTAAGAGTTTTCAAATAATGTGACTTATTAAAGGAAAAGAATATGGGGTTAGTATAGTTTCCAGGATTTGACAGTTTTTTTTTCTTTTTAATCATCACCTGAGGATATATTAATTGATTTTAGAGAGAGAGGAAGGGAGAGAGAGAAACATTGATGTGACAGAGAAACATTGATTGGTTGCCTCCCATACGCGCCCTGACTGAGAGGATCCAACCTGAAACCTAAGCATGTGCCCTGACTAGGCATCGAACCTGCAACCTTCAGGTGTAGGGGATGGTACTCCAACCAATTGAACAACCCAGTCAGGAAGGATTTGACAGTTTTTAAGCAGAAAATGTCCAAATTTTTCTAAATAAGTTCTGTTTTTAGCTTTGGAATATTTACATGTGACCAAAATTTCTTCCTGCTTATTATGCCCTTTTAGTTATGTAAAGTAAAATATTATTGAATATAACAACAATATTAAAGAAAATACCTAAATCGTAGTCTGTTATAACTCACAGCAAACTAAGAAAATGTGAAGAAAGAAAATGTAAATAATTATAATAACTTTTATTGGTTTCAGCCTAAAATATGGCATTATTTTCTTTTCCATGTTTTTTCTTTGGTACTGTTAATTTACTGATCAATAGCAAAGAATAATATATACATATATACATGTGCTTTGTTTCTAGTTTTACCACTTGTATAGATAGAATATAATGAATTTGTATTTTTCCACTTAAGATTTGTTTATACAAAGCATCTTAATATAGCATTTTTAAAAATCCACTGACAATTTATTATTAATGTGTTTGGATCAAATATTTGTTTCTTACCATTAAAAAATCTATGTATTCATGTACTGTTTGAAAGAGTTATAACCAATTTACTAAATTAATTAAGGAATGTTTGACACTTGTTTTTATAATTTAGTGCCATATGTTGGAGGGTTCAGACAAGCTTATTGCCCCAAATATAACTAAATGAATGGATTATCATTTTAATTATTTAAAATATAGTATTACATTTAGGACAGTTTGGCTCCATATATACAAAGACAGTCAGAGAGACCTGGCCTCACTCTTCAGAAATTCATTTTCTTAAATATCATCATTTTCATTTTCTTAAATATCCTAACATCATTTAAGATATTGTGAGTGTCGAGAACATCTCTTGGCACAATATGAGGAAGAACTGAAGAATTATTTTGCAGGAGAAAGGGCACACTGCAATTAGCTGATTCCAAGAGTTGAAAGAGAATACCTATAGATATTTTTGGTAGGATTAATATCTCTCACTTAGATATAATCCACTTGCAACATGAGGATTCCTCCTCATTCTTCCTGCTGCCTGATTCACTCTGTTATTCAGCTGTTCTCAGGTATCTATAGGAAGAAAAAAATACATTTACATTAAATGGAAAGAGGACAAAATCTCACCCCATTTGGAAATATGGTCATCAAAAAAATTAGTATCTTATTATGAGTACATTTACTTTACAACTGCACAGAAAAATTGTGGTACTGAAATGGAGTTTTAAAACATATTTGATTTTTAAAATATCTAAATCGATATGAATATAAATTACTTTCTTAGTAATACTACATTTTAATTTATCATCTACCACTTATTCTGATATTCTGTCTTTGAATATTTCTTCTCAGCTCATCCCATCAACTTCTCCTGGGATTCGATCTTTGATACATGAATTTTATGATATGGCAAATCCTATGGGAAAACCTGGTTCAGTCTGGACTCAATACTCCTCTCTTTTAAATGTGTTTGATCAATTTCAGCTCCTGAATAAAAAGGCACAGTTACATGCATTGGAATGGTAAGATAGCCGCAAATTTGAATTGTGCAGTCCAAAAAAATCTCTAGTCTGAAGATTGATTTCAAAAGGCTTTGCCTACATTAAAGAAAGCAACAAAAACAAGTACGTCCAAAAATTTGTGCTCTGGAAAATAAGCTTCTTTAAAGCACTGAAACCATAATGAATCTAGTGGTCTTCAAACACTGTAACAAAAATATATCCAACAATTTTTCAAATCAACTGGACTTGACCCACTAAAAAATAATGTTTAAAGTTAAAAGTTTTGATCTAATTTCATTTAATAATATATATCCTTGAATTATAGGAACATCAGACAGAAAGAATTAGGTGAGATTTGTTTTATGAACCATCAGTGTAAGCATTTATTTAGAGGGTTTTTGAGACATGACTTTATATGGGGGAAAATCTTTCCAAATTTATAAAAATGTCTGTCCCTGCCACAAATTATAAAAAAATTTTTAGATGGTAGAACCTCAGAGGGAAGCATTGTACTGGGAGCAAATTTTCTTGGCTTCCCATTTCCATTTCCATTCTAATGAGGAAATGAGAGGGAAGATGGGCCGGGTGAATATATTAACACCACCCGTGGCTGGTGAAAAGGGCAGTGCCCAAGTCCTTAGCTAAGGACTAGTTCTTCTAGTTCTTCTTTATATAATAGAATTAAGAAAATATTGGACTTTTCTATGGCCAGGAAAACCAAAATAATCCTAAACCTCCTAGGAAGGTGAAAAACAGTGGCCGTGATAATCATATGTCTCTGGCAATCACCTTCCGGAATGACTTCAGCTGACTTGGACTTCATTTCCTTCTGCCTCTGGAGACTGTGAAAGCAATTCTATAAGAAGTTTTTTTTTTTTCCTGTAATTAGAAATATTATAATTATATATATGATGAATTCTTAAGACATATCTCAGGATTAGAAATCATTTTAATTGTAACAACTTTATGAAGTTGGCCTTATTCCTTCAATACCTGGAAGTAGCAGGCCTGACAGAAGGTTTTCTTTGTTTGAAAATCAGGGTTTAAATAGTATAGCTCAATGACCCTTTGTTTGTTCCTTGCACCCACTGAAATAATCCAAAACTTTCTCATTTGTCATTATTGATGAGGGAAGAGCAGACTTGATTTACTAAGGAGACTGTTAAAGTACTGTTTTGTTTTTTAAGTTCCGTTGAGATATGCAAGCTTTGGAAATGTTGTTTCCCCATAAAGCGGGTTTTGTTTTGTTTTTTTCCAAGCACCACATATGTTGTAAAGTTGATCAATAAAGTTACCTTAAATTCTGATTATTGAATTTATTCCTAACCCTAACCCTAACTGGTGACCTTTCAATAAGGGAATTTACTAATGGTCTGTTTTAAGAGTAGTTGGAAAAGATCAGGACTTTTTTGAATCAGACAGACTAGGATTCAAAAATCCCAATTTTGGAGTTTATTAATTAAAACAGGTAAAGTTTTTACACCTCCGAGACTCAGTTTCCACATCTGTAAAATATGGATTGTACAACCTACCATGTATTATTCCAGAAGGATTACCTAAGATAACTTGCAGGTACTACGTGGTGTGTGGTGTGCTGCAGTGCAGGTAAGTAGTAAACATTAGTGTCCTTTCTTTTTCATGTTGCCATACCATCATGTTCACTTCAGCATCAACGGTGGGGAAAAATTTTTTTGTTTACTATAGGAAGAGCAATCGAAGTTAACACTGAGAGGAAGAAACTTTAGATCTTTATCAGAAAGCAATTAGTAAATTGCTCTTAGAACATTTTAAGAAAGAATACTCAATTCTAATTATATTCAAATATACCTGTGAGCATAAATTATTATCTCTGCTATGTTACAAGAAGGAGGCATATTGTACACATTTTCCAGAGGAGGAAACTGAGGTCCTGAGAAGGTGGGTCATTTACTCAAGCCACACAGCTAATATACAGTAAGAGAGGTGACCTCCACATCCTTGGTCCAGTGCTTCATTCCAGTGCATCAGGCAGACAGGACAGGGAGGTCAGGCATAGTCATTCTTCACTTCCTTTATCTTCACAATGGTCACTTTCAGGGATTTTTTTTTCCCTATAGAAAAAGCCAGTTTTACATACCTATACCACTTACGGGGGTTTAATGACTTCCTACTTTCTTTTAAATACAGATCACCTGCTTAGAACAACTAGGTGAAAAGAGATAAAGTCAGAAAAGCAACAGTTAGGAAAGGTGACAGTTATATCTGTGTCCCAAGGCGCAGAATACAAAGGTCCCAAAGAATCAATATGAATCCATGAAAACTCATATTTTCAAAACATAATTTATTCACAAAATTAAACAAAAAACCACCTCAGGTTACCTTAATATACAAAAGCATCACATTCCATTAAGATAGTAACATTTCCAAACTTTAGTTTAAGTGCGTTTCAGGGTTGTATCTTTTGTGAACTTCAGTTAGAGTTTTTTTACTTTATATGAACTGAGAGATTTTCAGTTAAACATACTTCACTCCATGCTTGCTTTATCTCTTTTTTAATTCTTTAGGAGGAGAGAACTACAGTTGACTTTTTGAACTAGTTTGAACTGCGCAGGTCCACTTATAGCAGATATTTTTCAACAAATACACTCAGCTGTTAATATCCGTGGGTTTTGCACCTCTAGATTCAACTAATCACAGATCAAAGACAGTATTTTCACATTCCCAAGCACACATTCCCAACTATAGGTCACAAATGTTATTTTCATTTGTGGTTGATTGAATCCTTGCTTGCAAAAGGCCAACTGTAGTCAAATTTGGGGGGAATCAAAAACTATACATGGATTTTTTACTGCACTGGAGCTTATACCCCTAAACTCTATGTTGTTCAAGGGTCAACTGTATTTTAAAGTAAGTCCTAGACATCATTATTGTTATCCCTAATTATTTCATTTTATATATATATATATGTATATATATATAGACACACATACACACACACTCATACACATAAACAAAAATGAAACTGCAGTATAATTACTGCACTTTAGTAATATTTTTAATTTCTTGATTCTTCTTAATTTCCTATCTGATGTTTGTATTTTGAAGGAATTGAATATGGCTCATTCATCTCTTCTTTACCACAGTGCCCAGCACATATCTGGGATGATAAATATTTACAAAATATAATTAAGCACAGAGTATTTGATTTAATTCTAATTGCATCTCTGTGAAGTTAGGCCAGTATTGTTATCTCTATTTTGTTGGAGTAAAAATGGAGATTCACAACAAAGCACAGGAAAATCAAGTCACATCCTGCCCACTTTTCTCTATTATCAGGACCAGCAATTTTTCTATCTGCAATTTAGATTATTTTGTTCCCAAAATTGAGGATTTAAGGAGCAACCTGGTCAAACATTCATTTATACAACAGAAAAATGAGGCAAACACATTAAGATGTAACTAACCCTTACTACTCACTAGTGTTGATCAGAGTTTAAGGAGGGAAGCCTTTGCAAGCCTTTCTGCGTGGACACTTGCATTTCTTAGTTTATATGTATGTTCTTTTCAGTCTGTGCCTCAGAGTTTCTAAGGCTTCTTGTTTCAGGACTGTTGCTTTAGCCAAACAGATTCCAATAAGAATATGTGTTCCTGAATCACTTCTGTTAGGTCCCGGCTATCAGAGATTGCTTACTTTTGGACTGAAGAATGACTTTTTGCCCTGGTTTTCTTCAAATGTGCTTCTGCTGATTAGAGATGATGAGATTTCCACCGACCTCACTTGAGGCAAGATTGCCAGTTTTGAGAAATGAAATCCAGAAAGTGTTTCTTTGTGTTCAGCAAAATAACTGTGCCCACATAGAAAAAAAAGTTTGTTAGATGTAATTTCCATGAATTTTGTTCATTTCATTGATCAAGTTGTTTGGCGTTGCATTTGTAGGAATTCCTTCTCAGAGGATGAGAATTTTGAAAAACCACAAGTACCATTTGATGAAACTGAACATAAAAAAGGTAAAAGGATAGTTCCATTTAATTCAACATGAAAATTAGTATTTCATGGGCAGGAAAACATATAAAAATTGTTTAGCTTCATTAGCAATCAAAAATGAAAATTACACAAGGAAGTGCTGTTTTCCTCATAGGTGGAGATGTTTTTCTTCTTAAAAATAATAGAGTTGGGGAGAGTGCAGAGAAGTAAGTATTCTCGTGTTGCTGGTAGATGTATGAATTGGAAACTTTCATAAATGGTCATTAAATAATATACAAGAAAAGCCTTAAAGTTATTCTTATGGACCAGAAATTTTACTTCTGGATATTCATGTTAAGGAGATAATTTAAATTGTATGTAAAATTTTATTACAAAAAGTATTAATAAATGAGAAAAAATGGAATCCATTACAGTTGCAATAATAATGAACAAGATAAATAAAATAATCTATAGTCATCCAATAAAACACTATAAAGATTTTCTAATGTTGTGGAATAATATTTATGACATAGAAGATGTTTCTGATATATTATTAAGTGAAACAATTGGCTACAAGGAACATGAGCCTCAAGGAAAATAATGGTGATTTTGATTTCATCTGTTGTATTTTATCTATAATTTCTAATTTTTCTTTCTTTGATTTTATTCTATTTTCTAATTTTTTTCTAAAGAATACCTGAACTTTTGTGGTAAGAAAAGTAAACATTTGTAATTTTAAGAAGAAAAAAATAAAAAGTACCATGCCTACAATTTTTTTTTAAAAAAATCAAAGTTTTCTTACTAAAAGTCAAGGTTTGATCCAATTGTTGTGAGTGTGTGATCCCCAGACCAGCAGCATCAGTATCCCCTGGGAAACTTGGAAAATTCAGATCTACTGAATCAGAATCTCTGGGTATTAGGCCCAGCATTCTGTATTTTAACAAGTCTTTCAGATGATTCTGAGCACACTAAAGTTTAGGAATCACTGCTTCGATAGAACGAATCAGCAGGACCAGTGAATAAATGATGAACTGATAGTCTCTCCCACCTTTTTTTTTTTCTCTTTAAAATAAATGGTTTAAGCACTCAGTGTTTTTATTCACACATTTGTACCATAGATATTTATTAAGAAGTATTTTAGATAGATGTTTGGTTGAATTCAGAAACTTAGAGTAGGTATCAGTTGAACTGACTAGATGGAATTTCTCTAATTCTAATAATTTGGGAAATTATAGCTAGAACTAGAAGGAATTGTGAGAGATCACCTTGAGTCAATGAATGATATTTAGACTATTTGTATTTCCCCCTTAATATTTTCCTATTTGAAATAATCATTCTTTTTGAAATTTGAACCAGATAACTTCTTTTGCTTCACCATAACTTTCAGTTTAACTTAGAAGTACTTTCTGATGTAATAAAGTTAAATAATAAAATGTTTCATTAAATTATGCTGTGTGTGAGATTACTGAATATATATTCTTTTAATTTTGATTAACAGCTTTCAATTTAAATTTATATTTTTTTTAGTTGTGCTTCCACGAATTATGAATGCAACCAAAGAAGTGCATTGCAGGAATGGTGAGTTCCAGTGGAAGTGTTTCAGTAGCATTATGCGTAGGCATGATCCTGCCTTTAAAACACCATCATTTTATTTTATTTCTGTATCTTTAGGCTACTAATTTATTTTAAATAGATTATTAGAAGTTTGAAGTTTCTGAATGAGTCAATATTTATCACTTTTGCATAGGAAGATTTTTTAATTTTCTATTTTTGAAATTGAAATGTTATGCTACATGTTTATTTGTTTAATGTCAGTGACTTCCCAGCTTATGTCAAGGGGTCCTAAGGGTGTTAAGGCTTTACCTTGGAGGCTGCTCCAGGAGAAAAGTTTAGCTTCCCTGCTTTATACACCAATTTTGAGGACTCACCACCCTGCAATGATTCCTTTCCTGCTGGATTGTTGATGTAATTAATAAGACTTGAGTCAAATTTTCTTTGTAACAATTGAGAGCTTTTAAGCTCATTTTCAATACATTTCCTTAAAATTCATGAATCTTTTACCTAAGTATAATCAAGAAATACATATCTATTACATTTCAAGGATTATTCAGATTTTAAAATGTAAAAATAATTTTCTTCAGTCTCTGCTCAGCATTACTCCAATGGTCTTGTAAATATATCATTCTAGAGAGTCTGACTTTTCCAAGATTATAGGGCTATTAAATGCCTGAGCTGGGTCACAAAGCCGGGTCTTCAGATTTTTTGTCCAAAGCTCATGAATTACCTTAATATCCTCTAATAATATGAAAGAAAAAAATAAAGTTCTACTTAGCAGTTTTTTTGAAATGTTTATGGACCATTTATTTTATATATATACGATGCTAAAACATGTACTTAGGAAATTTAGCTTTCCCAAATAAAAAAGTCATTTCTTGTAAAACATTAAAGCTGAAAATGATTGTGGATTAAGGTCTATTTTATTATAAGTCTTCTAATTTAATAAAATCTAATTTGTATCTTCTAATATGTAATTTAATCCATTCATTATGTTTTAACAGTATCATTAAAATTAGAGTACACTGAAAGATTATACAATAATATGGTTTAATAGAATCAACAAATACATCCAATTCAAGAAAAAAAGCATTTTAAGTAAGGTAGTTCTAATCAGGAAAAGATAACAGATATTTCTTTGCTGTTCTTTCCCTGCATTTACCATTCAATATCTTACTCCTAGAGAAGTACATGCTACTCAGTTCAATTCGCTTAGGAGATTGGTGCCTAGTACGTGGTGGGAAAGTAGGAGCAAGATTAGAATGAACGTTTGTTCAGAGTCTGCTGTGTGTTAGGCTTTCGGTTGATGCAGCTTCAAGAAAGCCTGTTCACCTCTTTGGTCTTCTATTTTCTCATTTATAAAGTAAAGTTACTATATGAAATCATCTCATTTTTTTGCAGTTTCCAGGTAACATGGTGCAGATAATGTGAATATGTTAGATAAGTTCTTCAACCTTGTTCATTTTATATGTTGGAAAAAAATGAGTCTGACCTGTGTCTTCATAATTAATCTTCCTACTTTTATGGTAAAAGGATATAAAAATAACTGAATAATGCCTCAGAACAGGTTGGATTATATTTCAGAGTTTAGGCTGTTTTTGTATTTAATATGAGTTATGATGATCCCTCAAGAGAGCAATAAAATTTTGTGGTTAAAAGAAATACGTTAAAAGCAACCAAATATTCAAACAGCTTTCTCATACATGCCTTCCAAGTAGATTAAGCAGCCTGCTACCATCATACCCCGCACTGGGTTCTCCATAGATCTAAGGTAAACTGGCCAGGGACAAGTTGGGACTGGGTCAGGAAGGATGCCAAGGAAACACCAGGTGTTTGTAGGCAGCAACACTGATGATTCAGTTGAGTGTGATGTCTGGAGTATGTAAGTTTTCAAGCAGGAGTCTACAATGCAGCACTTAAGCCCGAGGTGAAGTTTCTAATGCAACCCAAAACAAGCACTAGCTAAAAATCTTGCTTAAAAGTAAGGTCGCATATTTTATCTCATGTAGAGCTAAGTTTCAGTGTTGCAATGGGAGAGCCCTATTGGAAACTTTCACTGTTAAGTGTAAGTTATAGGAAAATCAATTCTCCATGACTATTTCATAAAATATATATATTAAATTGAAGTACATCTTCTATGATTATAATTTTGAAAAAAATGCATTTTTTCACTTATTTAACTGGTTTAGAGCACAAAAGTGTAGTACAAGTATTTAAATTCCTTTTCTGCCTAGGAAATGGTCCTCTGGAAAGCACCTTTCATGTCACTGCATGTCAGCTTGTTTAAAGTGTTAGGCTGGGTTCACCGTCTCCACTTCAATCAGCTCTCATGACCAGCAACAGCCTGGTTTTACTGTGCTTAACTCAGTGCCTTGAGTACAGGCTATGCTGGAAAAAAATTTTTGATGGAAAAAAATGCATTATTCACAAGTGGTTGAATTATAATGCAAAGTTATGGTCCTTTTCAAGATGAAATCTAATAACATGGTCTTGCCCTCATTCTTTTATTTTTTAAAATTTATTATAAAAGATTTAGGAGGTGGTATGATCATTGAACTTATAGGTGCAATCTACCTATATTCATTGGCCAGATAAAAATTTCTGGCTAATGGATATAGGTAGATTGGGTAACAAGTAAAATCAATCAAGCAGGTGGTTTACTCCATTCACTGACTTAATCTAGTAAATTGACTACTTATTTATTTTTTTCATTACGAGTTTTTCCTACAATGAAATTCCCACATATCTGTTGTATTATTTTTGTTCCTAATTTATACCTGAGTAATTTTTTCTTTCAATGACTGAGAAAACCTTAGAAGGTAGGTCAAAAATCTACAGATTTTTCATTTTCATTATTTTAGTGAATGATGGGAGTTATATTGTGACCTAGGTCTCAGAACTAGAATAAAATATTCATAAGGTTAGTGGTACCCATTACCATGGATTTGGTTGTGCATCTCCATGTCTGTCAAAGAAATAAAAACTTTTGCTATTGTTGAAGCACAAAGCCCAAGGTGTAATGGGAGATGCAACAAATAGAGAGGAGCACAAGGAAGAGATTGTGAAATGCCTTGTCTGCTTTATTAGAGGCATGGATTGAATTCTGCAGGTGATGAGAAACCATTAAAACATCACAAATAAATCATCGGATTTGATTTTAGGAAAGTCATTATGATTGTCATATAAAAATAGAGGGAGAGACTTGGGCAGGTGGCTCAGTTGGTTGGAGCACCATCCTATACACCAAAGGTTGTGGGTTTGATCCTCAGTTAGGGTGCATATGGGAGGCAGCTGATGGATGTTTCTCTCTCACATCAGTGTTCCTCTCTCTCTCTCTTTCTTTCCCTCCCTCTCTAAAATCAACAAGCATATCTGTGGGTGAAGATGAAAACAAGAGAGAATGAGACAGCAGTTAATAAGATAATCTATTTTCTAAGCTCAGTTTTGTAACTTCCCAAAGCAAATTCTGTTGTTTTTGTTGCTGAGTCGTTAAACATCACTGAACATTTAATTTAAAGGCAGTGCAAAGACACATTTATTTTACTAATTTCTGTAGAATTAGCTATGTTTTTTTCTTTTTCTAATTTAACTTAATTTTATTTTTTTATTCAAATATATTTGTCTCCACCTTCCTGCCACCACTTTACCCTGCCCCCATCCCCCACCTCCCTCCCTCAATCCTTTCCCACTGTGGCTTTGTCCATGGGTCCTTTACACATGTTCCTGGACTTGACCCTTCCCTTTCCCCACCCCCCTACCTCCCTCCTGCCCTCTTGATTCTGTTGGTTTCTTTTTTCTTTCAATGTTGCTGGTTATATTTTCCTTGCTTGCTTGTTTTGTTGGTTAGGTTCCACTTATAGGTGAGATCATATTGTATTTGTCTTTCACCTCCTGGCTTATTTCAGTTAGCATAATGCTCTCCAGTTCCATCCATGCTGTTGCGAAGGGTAGTAGCTCTTTCTTTCTTTCTTTCTGTTGCGTACTATTCCATTGCATAAATGTATCATAGTTTTTTTGATCCACTCATTTATTGATGGGCACTTAGGTTGCTTCCAGCACTTGGCTATTGTAAATTGTGCTGCTATGAACATTGGGGTGCAGAGGCTCTTTTGAATTGGTGTTTTGGGATTCTTAGGGTATAATCCCAGTAGTGGAATTGCTGGGTCAAAAGGCAGTTCCGTTTTTAGCTTTTTGAGGAAATTCCACTTTACTGGAACTTTATTGTCTATTGAAAAGTATTTTGGAACTAAATACTCATTAATATTTCTGTGAAAAACATCTGCTAAGTTCCTTTTGAGTAATTTGGTGATTCCAAATGTGAACACATAATTTATCAGTGGTTGGTATATATGCCTATACAGCTATTTTTCTTTCTTCTTACCGAGATACTCTTGTAAAAATTGGTCTACCAGATAGAAACATTCTTAAAAATGGCTTAGATCAATGGTGTGAAGTAATATGCTAAGATTTCTAATGGGATTGAGCAGAATATAGAATTTCCCTCTAATACTTCAGTGTACTTTCTTAGGCTGAGGTGGCTGGGGTCGGGAGGGGGTGTCAGGGTACCCTGTGATGTCTTCGTATCTGAGTGTTTCTACAAGATTGGAGTTACATTCTTTGCCCCCGACCCCTGCTGCCTGTAAGCTACTTTATCAATCCAATGACAGTTTAATGACACTCCCATTCAGAAATTTTCCTCATTTCCTGCTGGTACTCTTCTGTCACCACCCCACAGAGTCATCGTCCCCACTTACACTGTTGCTGGATATATGCAGTAATTGCCATGAACATGTTATCAATCTACTGGAGAGACATTTTCCCACCTCCTGTGCCTTTACACTTTTAAGGGCTGGACAAAAAAATATATGATCTATATGAAACCAAATAAAAGCATAGCAGTTATATAAAAGAAATGCTACAAAATTTGACAAATAGAAGTCACAAATCAAGTCTGACAGGTTGTCTTTTTTTCCCATTTAAAAAAAAAAACAGATGAAGATAAACAATGTCATATCAAGCAGATCTTCACACATCCACATTTGGAATTAAGTCCTGAATTTAACCCGAAGATCAAAGATTATTACTCTGAAGTCCCATTTGATGTGGTAACAGTAACAATTGGAGTGGAGACTTCTAACTGTCAGTGCAAGGTGTACCTGCAGGAACGGGCAGGGCCAAGGTATGGAATGCTGCTGGGCTGGGTGAAGATATCACATTTAGAAACAGACAATTGAAGCAACCTTTGAAGGTGGTTCAGAAAAGTTGAGGCACAAGATCAGTTGAAGAGATTGCCAGGGTGTGAAGTCTTTCTACTTTTCAGGTGTCATGTGGTTAAAAAGAACACACCAGCATTCTACTGCTCCACTGCAATCTTTGTATAGAATCTTGGTAACCATGTTGTAACAAGAGTGGATCTTGTGATATGAAATATTAAAGAGGACTAATTAAGGGAGTTCATTTTTTTAGATTGCTGAAGAGTTTATCCTTCTTAGCAGTAGCCTCCTTCTACCCAACCCAACTCCTCAAATATTTGACTATTCAGAGATTGGTTACTTAATAAAAACATGGTGATGACAATTTGTGGACATAGTCACATTAACTTTCTTATTCTCACTGGGGTTTTGTTCTTCTGACCCTTTGGAGATTCACCAACTATTTCGTTTGTAATTTTGAACAGAAGATAAAACATTTTTATATCCGTTTCTATAGCAAGGAAGATACTCATGTTTCCATGCTGTAGGGTAAGAATGTGCTTGCATCTATGGGAGCCAAGAAAATGTAATAGAAAGAAAGGAGGAATCAAGTCAGACACACGTTGGTCCCAAACCTGACTCTGGCATGTGACCTGGGCAATTTGTTTCCCACTTCTATGACATAGTTAGGACTGTCATAGTTTTGTGTAGAGTTGTTGTGAGTATTAAATGAGATAATGTATTACCCTGACAGGTGGTTAATAAACATTGGTTCCTTTTTTTCTGTAGTTTATGGGAGATGTGACTTGCTCTGCAAGATAACTCTTAGCATACCAAAGTACTGCAAAACAGAAGTTTAAATATTTATTTCACATTTTAGATTTCCTATGAAATTTTACAGACCTTACACAAATTGTAGGCATTTAATATTGATCTATGAATTCGTTTGGGCTGAACAGATGTTTTTCTCTCCAGCTTTGCCAACTACCCTCTGGGCTTAGGAGCAAACAAAATCTCCGTGCTTGTGGTGGATGAATCTCCAGCCCAGGGTGAGACCCTGATCACATACAAACTTACCATCTACCGAGAAGACCGTCCAAGCCTGCCTTTCTTTGAAGACTTCACAGCATGTGGTTTTGTGCAGGTAAGTGAATTTTACATTTGCACTTGGACTGAATTAGAATTGATGTTAACCCAGGTGAAAAATGCCAAATGAAAATTGTTAGAGAAAAAGTATGCCTTTAAATCCAAACTGTGGTCTCATTTCATAAAACCAAGAGTTTCAGCCAGGTATCTAAGATACCCTGTTATAAATGGTTTTCTTTTTAGTGGGATGGCTCCTCCCGGCACTTACTGTGTTCAGTGGATTTATTGTGGTTAATATTGAAAAGAAGTCTGAGTACTCACACTTGGTTATGAAATTGGTTTTATATTTCCCTTTCAAATTGTGCTGTGTTTCTTGGATTTGCCCTTGGATCTACTTTTGAAATTTTAAACTAGGTTTGGTAGACTTTACTTTAAAGAATGAGAGGAAAATTTATGGAATTATTTTACAGAAGGGATATCCGATAAATGAAATGAAATTTACTCAAGTAGACATATTTCTAATTCACTTCTAACACCTTGATCATTCCCAAAGGCTGTAGTTTCTCATGTGAGCACCACATATTTTGTTGCCTTGTTGATTTTGGAGGAGGGTGAACATCACCCAGACACTTCATCTTGTTTGAGGTTCTCTCCTCTGTTTTTCTCCTTTTTTAGGATTCTATGCATAAACTTCCTCACAGTGTATACCCTCACTACAAGTGATTCCAGGGAAATAGTAATTGGTACTATTATCATATGTACTAACCCACTCAGAAAGTATAATTACAAATACATCACATCACAGGGATATATCGACTGCTGGGAACATTGAAGTACAGAGGGTTAGTAAGAGTAATGGCCAACTGGACCAGTGAGTGGTTTGGATATACCACTTTTTATTTTTGTTTGATTGTTTTAGAGAGAGGAAGGGAGAGGAAAAATAGGAGAGAAACGTCAATGTGAGAGAGAAACATCAATCGGTTGCCTCTTGTATATGCCCCAATCGATGACTGAACTGGCAACCTAGGCATGTGCCTTGACCGGGAATAGAACCGGCGACCTTTTGCTTTGTAGGACGATGTCCAACCAACTAAGCCACTCCAGTCAGGGCCTGTGTCTTCTTAAATGTAGTGGCCAAATATGGCATTCTCTCTCCTTTACCCACCACCACCACAGTCTCATCTATTCCCCAGAATTTAATACTATTTTATAAGGGTACCCGTCACTGAGATTTATATTTCACAAGTAAATACATATCTCTAATTTATGAACTATCACCAATTCAAAGGGACTTTCACATTCATTCTAAAGATTGAGCTAAAGCAGGACAGAGTCATTATTCTTACGGATAATAATAGATGTACTTGAAAGGTACAAAAAATGGGGTTCCACAGTCAAATAAGTTTATGAAACGATGGGTTAAACAAAGTTAAGTAGGGTTCTTTATTGTAGCACCTCTCTGAACCTTTCATACTCTAATTAAAATGGTAAGTCTTCAAAAGGAGAATATACAGTGTGTAGCATTTCCAAACATATTTGACATTCTTTTGTGGAATAGCCATTAAATATTCTTCTGTGCAACAAGGTTGAGGAAACACTGGGGTGGGCTAGGGAGACAAATTCAAAACATGTTCCTCTCAGTTATCCACCTTTCAATTTTCTTTATTGGATAGTAATCCTTTTGGTTCCAAAGAGAGTAAACTAGTCCTCCAGAAGGTGGTATTGACCTGGTCCACTGGCAGGAAGAAGGCAGTTGGGGGAAAGTCCCCTTTACACAAACATGGGCTGCTTAGGTGGGATGAGTCGGGACAAGAGGTGACAATGGAGATGGACAGCCAGACCACTAGGTAACATCTTGGTCTCTTGGTGTCAACTGATATTTTACAAACATTTGTAGCTCCCCATGATCTAGGGAAAAAGGAGTCAAGAAAAGCTGTGAGAAGGTGATGTAGAAGGCACTTACTTCATCAGAAGAAGATAGCCCAAAAGCCAAAAAACAAATGAGAAGATGCTCAGCCCCATTAGTCATCAGGGAAATGCAAATTGAAACTATTATGAGATACCATTAACCATGCACTACAAGGCATAATATTAAAAAGACTATAATGCCAAGTGTTGGGGAGGAGGTGGAACAATTTTTCTTTTATACACTGCTGGGCAGAATGTTTGATCACTTTGGAAAACTTCAGAAGTGTTACTAGAGGTAGACATACATATATCCTACAACTCAGCTGTTCTCCTAGCTATATGTCAGAGATAAATGAAGTCATGTGCCCATCAAAAGACACAGCCAAAAAATCTTTGCTTTAACTTTTAAAATAATTTATTTTTAGAGTAGAGTTAGGCTTACTATAAAATTAAGAGGAAGGTACAGCAATTTCCTATGTATTCGCTTCTCACACACGCATCTCCTCCTTGACTATCAACTTTATTCACAAGACTGGTTTATTTTTAACCACAGACAAACCTACATTTACATATCATAACTGCCCAAATTCTATAGTTTACCTTAAGGTTTCCTACAGGTGTTGTACACTCTATGGGTTTGGACAAATATATAATAACATGCATCCATCATTATAAAATCATACAGTGTATTTTTACTACTCTAAAATTCCTCTGTGCTCTGCCACTTCCCTGCCACTTCCCACCAACCCCTGGCAAACATTGATCTTTTTTATTATCTCCATAGTTTTACCTTTTCCAGAATGTCATATAATTGGAATCATACAGTATGTAGCCTTTTCAGATGTTTTTTTCACTTAGTAATACACATGTAAGATTTATTCATGTCTTTTAATGGCTTAATAGCTTATTTCTTTTGAGCACAAGAAATCTTAATGTTATCTGTCTTTATAATACTAGCTCAAAGCTGTAAACAATTCAATAAGGAAAGAGATAAACAAATTTAACATGATATTATTGATATTTTGTGTGTATTAATATACACAAAATGGATGAATCTCCAAAACACTATGTTGAGAAAAAAGAAGCCAGACATAAAAAAGACATACTGTATTATATTTATATAAAGTTTAAGAACAGGCAAAACTAACCTAATGTGATAGAACTCAAATTAGCGCTTACCTAGAAAGTGTGGGTATCCCTAAGCATGACCAAACTTTCTGGGCAAATGCCTTATATCTTAATCCAGGTGGTGGTTACATATAGAAAAAGTTGGTAAATAGATATATAAAATGTTATTAATAAACAACTATGCTCTTAAGATTTATGTAATTTACTGTATGTAAAAATACATAAACATGTGTTTGGATATTATAAATTATCTATCTGGATATAAATTATACCTCAATAAAATAAGAAAAGAAACATTAGTGGGGAAGTATGTATTATTTACCAAGATATGCTTCTCTTCTCAAATATTATATTGATTAGAAACTAATTAAATATAATGCAATTACCTTAGATAATAGATTACATTAGGCATTTGTTACTATAATATGAAGAAAAATATTAGAAACTTTTGTGGGATGTATCCTACAAGTGATGAAAGAAAGTGTCTCAGTAATTTATAAGAATCATTTCCAGGTCTTAATTTATAGTGTATGTGTGGTCTCACAGCAGTATTATATTTTATAACATGGGAAAGTATCTATAAGCACTAGTATATTTTAGATTTCCATTTAGAAACTGTCAAATGAGTGAACAGATAATGAAAAAATAATGTAGATTGCTGTAGACCTGAATTAGGAACTGGGAAAAGTTAATAGCAGAGGTGTTCTCACCAGAGACTCCAGTTAAAATTCTCATCCAGAGACCTTTCCTCTATTTCTCTTTCATGTTTAATTTCAATAAAGTCTTTAGGTTTTATTGCAAGGTGATAACATGATGAAATTTAGAATACAAAGAGCTAGGGATAAAATTTCCTATCTCCTATCTCTTCTCAGGTATTTGAGAATTTCCAAATTAAGTTAATAGCTAAACATATATATATATATATATGTTTATATATATGTTTTTTTATATATATATATAAAATATATGTATATATAGCTGTCCGGCACAAATAATGCCCCTTTTTATTACAGAATCTTTTATTACAAAATCATAACCATGTAATTCTGTAACATAATATCACACTCAAGCACACCATGTGACATTTTAGGTGAAATGTTCAAATTAAAGCTATAAATTATTACACCATATTATTACCCTACCAACCACACTTGAGCAGGAGTTACTTCTGCCAGACCCTGTATTATGAGACTTAAAAGCTTTTGGTCTTTCAAGTTGTTGTTTTTCTTTACTCTCAACATCCATAGTGCCTTCCTTCATTATTCTTAAGGTTGAAATCCAGAGTGCAACTCTTGCAGATTAAATGGTAGGCTGTTCTAGTTGGATCTCCAAAACCTCTATATGAAAGCAAAAAGGAAATAAATTAAACTTTAATTATATTTTGTTGGTTAAGGGAAAAATTACAATTCCTCCTTACATTTCAAATTAGATTTTGGCTTAATGGGCTCCATTATTAAATTTTAAATAAACATAAAAGACAATCTACCTTCAAATAACCAAAAAGGAGAATCTAATTCATGGTTAATCAATTTCCTAATTTCTCCTTCCCTCATTCTCTCACTTTCTTTCTGATCATCAACTATTCATTGACGCTTTCACCAAAGACAAACAGTAAAGAGAAAGCAAATATAAAGCTTACCAGTTAATTAAAAAATCAATTACTATGACTTTTTGGTGAATAATAAGATAATTTAATTAATTGTTAACAGACATTTTGTATCTTTATATGCTCAAACATTGTTAAGGACCTACTTAGCCATAATTAACTATGAGTTTAGCATCTGTTTCTAATTATAAGGCCAGTTGGAATTTGTATATAGTTGCCACAGAGGCCACTCTCAGTTTAGTCAGTGCCAGTGAGGGCGAAGTGATAATTTACATGACTTACATAAAACAACCAGATTTGGAGCAAGGTTTCTCAACCTTGGCACTATTGATAGCGGGGCTAGATAATTCTTTGTTCTGGGGAGCTATGCTGTGCATTGTAGGACTTTTATTTGGCAGCATTCATGGCCTCTATCC